CGACTCTGTGGAATATGGTATCATTATAATAATCTTCTAAACACAATTGTATGAAGTTACGACAGGCCAGAGGAGCCTCTTTGGACCACAGTTCAATATCAATATCAGTCGCGACGCCAACGGTATGCTCACGTGAATTTTATTTTCCAAGTGACGTCATAATGGCTGCCAAGTGATGGCTAAAGCTGTGTTTAGTTTTGTGCAGTTTACAAGATGGTGGGTAGTCTATAGCTCTAAGAAGCAAACTCAAACTTGAAGCAAAAAGGTATAGAATCAATTGGTTAGTTTTCAGTCTGAAATGTAAGTATATTTTGCTTGTTATTGTCGCTGTTTGGAAAATGGTGTACACTATCTAGGTATATAATAGTACTGGGACTGGCCAGAACAGCTCAGAATTAGGTATGCAACTGGCCTATTAGTAGATCTTTGTGTATGCAAAGTTTCGTTTTGATACTGTTGTCTAGAACGACAGTTGCATCCATAATGTAGATTCAGCCTGCATGGTCCATTCTTTCATGCCATATTTTGACTGTTCTGTTCCTTTTTTCTACAGATTCCACACTCAGGATCATCAATCAAGTCATTTTACCTCAATAGAATTGTTTGAAATCCTTTTAGAGCTAGATTTTATACTTGTCATTATAGTCATATTATGTGCCATTGACTTTCAGAGACCACAGCATCCTTATTTCTTGCTGGAACAACTTTAAACTTCTGGAGTATATTCTTCTAGCTACTATCTTGTTGTAAGCAAATGGACAAGAAGCTGGAGTTGTCTAGAACAATGTACGCATCCGTTAAATTGAAGGACATCAGTTGCTTGCAGTTCTGTTATAGTTTATTTAAACTGGTTGATATTTTTTATGATGATAAATATGTATGTTCTGTGTATTGTATGCAAATTTCATAGTAAAACTATTAAATGAAAAATAAATATAAAATAAAGTAGCAACTCATTAATTATTCATACTGTCAAGTGTATTACAATAAAATTATACAGGCTCTTATGACTTCCGGTACCGTTGGCGTCACGACTGATATCACCCAGTGTGGTCTTTAATAGTACCTGAGGGGAGGGGCCAGTAGTCACTAATACAGCTGCTGCTGGATTAACTACCTTTCCTTTAGTAGGAGGCTCTGTTATATATATGGAACTCATTTCTGGAGAGGTTGAGCTCAAATCACTGAAATCAGGATTACTCTCCGTATATCTACTCAGTATATTGAAATCACGTGTTTCTAAATTATTTTTGAAAAAATAATAATCATAGCAAATAAACAAAAATACTATTAAGACACACAAAGCAGAAATAATGCAGAATGCATTCAAAATATTATTACTATTATTAAAGGGTAATACCATAAAGTTATTTCAGTTTATCAGGTATTCTTTCAGCAGCTGCACGGTCTCCTGTTCCCTTCACAGCATCAATCAAAGTCTGCCATGTTCTACTAGTTACCTTATCTTCTCCTCTCAGCCATGCTTTTATAGTCTTCCTTAGTTTCTTATGTGCATTACCACCACCGTCTTCAATAACATCAAGTGTTGTTGGTCCTAGTAGGCCTAACTTCAGCCCCAAGTTATTCCATTCTGCTGAACCAAACATTGCTTCATGTAACACTGTTAGCACTTTATCAAGATCCTCTATACCTGTATTAGCATTAAAAGATTATTATTGTACATGTATCATGCCAGGTAGCCTCTTACTTAGCTGTCCAGCTCCATGATCACTATCAGGATTAACAGTGGTACTGTTGTGATGAGGCTGTGCTGGTAAAGCACCAGTAGCTATATGAGTCACTACATAATAAAATTAAGTAATGTAGTTTCAATCATTGCATCATGTGGAGTAAAGTAAACTAAAATTCTGGCAACTGTTACTTTAAAATTATTTAGTAAATACATGTGAGCTTACTGATAGTCAAGAACTTTTCAACATCATTAGTATCTTTTTCCACCACAAAATGGTTTATAGTCACACCAGCCAAAACAGCCAAAATAATTATTAACATGCAACAAATCCAATTCCTGCTAAAAAAATTGAAGATTAGAAATGCTACAATGGAGTCTTACTTTGCAGGATTTTTTATGCGATTAGGTTGCACCTCTTTTGCTGAGCAACTGTCTAGTGCAGACACTTGTGCTGTTACTATAATTATAATAACAAAAAGGCACATTATCAATTAGTATTATTAAGAATATACATAGTTTAAAATTTTGATAGATTTTTTTAGTTATTACTGCTAGATATGCCATAATTTTTAATTTATTTACCTAATCCAGTGGGTTGCACTGTGGGCCTTGCAGTAGATGAACCTTCTGATGATGGCTCAGCTCCTAGGAAAAAATTCTTGTAAACATGACATGATTAGTAATTCCACATGCAATCTCTTAAAATATTACTAACGTGAACTGGATGATTGAGTATCTTTAAACCAACATTTATAGCTATCATCATCACTTTGCAGTACTTCTGAGTGTGATCGTCGACATTGAGTACAACTGGTTGAAGATTCATTCTGGACAATGCAAAAACAATGTTTGTTTTGAGGGCATTTGAATGCAAAGATATGGTTTTTGCCAACTTTGAGATCATTGCTGCTTTTTCTGACAGCATCTATAACCA